GAGAAAGAATTTAATCAATTACACGGCGTTGATTCTATAGCTCGTGCATTATAGTCGCGATCATCTTAGATTCTGAGCCATAATCTCGTTCAACGGTCTATCTTACACTACGTTACGTTATCGTTACGTTACGATCGTGTAATTATATACAGTTATTCATTACATCACATTACGGTGCGTTACGCTTTAGCTTGCGTTACATTACATTATATTCTTAGATTATTACATCACATTAACAATACATACAGTACATCCCGTTTATCACCATACAGTGGGCATTGCATTACAAGTGACACTTTGCAACCAATCGCGCTAGAGTATTGGTCATTAACGAGCGCGTCTAAACCAGCGCACTGGCAGACAATGCACGTCAAGCGTTTAAACATTTATTGCTGAAATCCGAAGAAATAAAAGTGGAGAAAATCTATCCTTCTTAACGCGAACGCAAAATTTGGAAACAGTAAAGTGAAATGGACGATTTAAAATGCTCATAAAATCCATATTGTGATCACGGCGCGGGAGGTATAAATTATGCTGCTGGGTGTGCCGCGATCGCGTTGATGCGTGCAGGACGATACAGATGATTAACATGATGTTGTACGGTCTCTAGTCAAAAGTAAATGAACCATCGTGACGTAATTACGTACGGTGCGACGGCTGTGAAATAACAGTGATTTTTTTGGTGACCGTGAAAGTCGAGTAAATCGATATATTTACTATTATTATGTGAGCCGTAATGAACATACCTAAAGCAGCTGTACGGATATTATTCTATAAGGTAATTATTTTCTAATGTATACAAGGTATACAAAGGTATACAAAGTAACACAAGTAATAATACAAGGTATTTATTAGCGTGCTTGATTTGATATATCTCTGCTTGATTTATTAGTTCTCTAATATATCTTAAACATCATAATTACATGCGAAAGAAATAATAATTTTACATGTGAACATGTGGAGTAAAAATTTATCGATGAATCACCCGTTAAGTCCGCGTTATCGTGATTATATATCGATGAATAGATAGGTGTGTCGCCCCTGGGTGCTTGTTAACAAATAATCACGCCGCGATCTCTTACGCCCCGGTATTAATTGTTCACCGGCGCCACACTGGTACGAGATAGAACACGGCGGAGGCCGAGCAACCCGCTGTATGTACACAGACAGTACGGTAGCAATTAGAGCAGCAGCTTGCAGTAGCAACTGGCAAGATGTAACCTCTCATTGTCTCGCTGCAATCACGAGTCGGCGCACGCGCGAAGAGGGAGGTCTGGGGGGAATAAGTATTCACGCGGCGAACAGCGTACGCGTCTAATCTATCGGCGCAGTTTCCGCAAAAACCACTTCATCCCGTCGCTTTTCAACGCTCTCCGTGTGGCGTGCTGCGGGGCGGGCCAGGAGAGCGCTGGGAAGGAGCAGGCGAAGCACGCCAGCTCGCACATGCGCGCAACGCATTGAATCGAGAGAGAGGAGAGGAGAGAGTAGAGCTGCGCGGACTGCGCTAGGACTGGACTAGTAGGAGGCAGTGGATCACAACAGACACTAGCGCGCCGTGCTGCTGCTGAGCAGTGGACAGTGTTTACACGCGTGTACGGTCAGCGAAGCTCATACACGCACAGAGAGAGCGAGAGCAAGAGTAGGACAGAGAAAATGCCATAGAGAGAAAGAGAGAGCGAGTCAAAGAGAAAGAGCAAGCGAGAGAGAAGAGAGAGAGAGATTGAAGAGAGGAGAGAGAGGCGAAAGAGAGAGAAAGAGAGAGAGGAGAGAGAGAGAGAGGATGTAGAGCGAAAGAGAGAGAGAGAGATTAAGAGATTGGAAGCAGAGCAGAAGAGAGCAGATGAGAGAGAGGAGAAGAGAGCGCGCGGGCAGAGTAAAGAGCAAGCGAGAGCGAGAGTCTCACAACAATTGTCGGCCCGCACACGGCTGCGCAGTCGCTGTCGAGGTGGCGGGAGCAGCGAATTCTTAGCGCAATCCAGCTGGCTCGTTATACACTAGCAGTGACCGCAGCGAGCGAGGGTGTTGTGTAAAGGCGCTCAGAGAAGTGCGGGGCCGACTATAAGATGAGAGAGAGTTATGAGAGCGATGGCGGTCACACACACGAGCCACCATGTGTTGGGCGTGATGTCATGTTCGGGTTTCGTGGTATGATA